AGGTTAATTATAATAAGTTTGTGATTAGTTAGTCTCTTATTTTTTTTTTTGTGTTTTAAAGAAATGAATCTAAATGGTTTGTTTTTTGTTTGTAAAATTCAGGTCAGGAGACTACGACGACTACTTGTGATAAAGTTTTGGTCGGAAAAAAAACAATGGAGTAAATGTAAATCATAGGTAGAATCATGGGCTCTATTTTTTCTTTTTTTCTTTGTCTTGTTTAAATTTAAATGTGATCAGAATATGAACATAACATTTCTAAATTCTGATTAATTCCCTAATCAATGATTTTTTCCAGTTCGGTTCGGTTTGGTCGATTTTCAATTTGAACCGATTGTCCAAAATTCAAACTCTCAACTACAAAACGCTACGTTTTACGCAGCCGCGTTTTGGAAGTGTCACATTTGTATTAAGGGCTATGTGGTTTAATCTAATCCACTAAAATTAGGGCAAATGATTAGGTTTCAAAGTATAAAATTTGTTTTTGTGTTATTGAGCCCCATAATATAAAGCCTAGAGAGTGCGATCATTTCCTCTTCTCTAACGTTCTCTGGTCATGGAGCCTCAAAAACCCAGCAAGCGACTTCGCCAAGTCCCTTGTTGTGAAAACGAAAACCCTAATCCCAAGTCACTCCCCAGTGTTCCTGGTTTCAACCAAAACCACCTCGATTTGATTATCTCCTCGTTCCTCTCGTTACCGGATTTGCCTTCGTTACCCTCGTCGCTCTCCATCGAATCCTCTTTCGATAGAGTGTTTGAGAAAATGTTCGAAGCCTCCAGTGATGGTTCCGTTCAGGATCGTATCACTGTTCGTTCACTAGAACTCGCCTCGATTCTTCAGGATTCCACCAAAAAGTGGTTTCGAAAATACGCCACTCTCTTCAATACCAATTCCTGGCCACTGTATGATGACCTTACTGTTAAGGTATCAAATCGCTTCGAAACCTGATTTCATTGTTTTAGGGCTTTTGTTTCTTCTTCTCGAAATGATGTGTTCTGTATTATTTCCATATAAATTGTAAGCAATTGAGAGGAATCTGAGATTTTGAGGATGTCATGTTCTACTTCAATTGAATGATGTTCCATAAATGTAACCAAATTTTGACATTTTCCTTTGCCTATAATATATTGATTAGTGTGATGATCTGTGTTCCTTTTGTGGGAGGAGAATTTGAGGATGTGTTCTCTTGAATGATGTGTATTTATTTATAAATGGGATTCTTCAGGTGTTTTCGATGCTTGATACAAAATCTCTGATGCAAGCTTCAGCTTCTTGCACCTTGTTCAAGAAATGTGCCATGGACCCTTTATGTTACTCCCACATAGATTTGACAACCCGAGATGTTAATGAAACAGTTGTGCAGAGGATGATTTCTCATGCCGGAAAAGAACTCAGGTAAGATGTTGTGTCTTCTCGAAAACCGAATCTGTTTATTATCCCTGCTTATCTTCTAGATGCAAGTGTATTACCTATTGGCAGTTTTTGCTTATATTTTCTCCATTTTTTTTTTTTCATGCATGCAGATCCCTTAAAGTTGGTCGCATTGCATGTCCGTATGATAGATCTAGGGCATCTTTGCTTTCAGGATCTTGTTTTGCCCCACTATACAATAATCAAGGTTTTAAACGGTATTGGCTTGATTACCTATACTATTTGACTTACCATACATAGAAATAGGTTATTGGTTAGTGTTTTCTATGGCATTGTATATATATTTTAATCCGCTATTATCTTTTTCCATTTGAAAAAGGGATCTCTTGAGAAGCCTACACATTTATAATAGTCGATGGATGAAGGAGAAGTCCTTAAGTGGCGCGTTGATAGCCTGCCCAAATCTTACCGATTTGAAGATTGTTGGATTGTAAGCGCGTACCCTGTTGCTTTACCAAGTTCCTTTATGTTTGAAATTCATGATTTCTCCATCATCTATGCTTTCATTTTTTTTTTTTAAAATTCATTTTTACTTCTATGTCCGTGAATTTTGGATTCACCAAGTTCCTTTTGTAGCATTTTGATAAGATTCAAGAATATATTCAATCACCAAAGAACTACACCATAGAAAACCCAGAATGCCCAAACCCATATCTGCCTAGTTCCCTTTTATGCCTTTCCACTTAACCAACCGACTTCGAAGTCTATAGCATATAGTTCACTATACATTTTGATGTGAACCGAACGGTTGTTAAAGAGAAAAGAAGAATCACGTTTCATGATTTCCTTAGTTGTATGGGATTGATCCCCGCATTCTCATTTCTTCATGTTTCCTAGTTTGTAGGATCGGTGAACGATTTCTTTGTTTCCTTTTGTATTTAAAGACTTATTGGGACCTATCACATTTTCTCACTATCTGCCATATTTCGTTTTTACAGGAATTTTGGTCAAGTTAATAAGGTATTAGATTGCCTCCCAAGAGGATGCCAGAATCTATTCATAGAGAAAGAAGATAATGGATATGGTAAAGATTTTCCACAAGAAAGCTTTGCTTTTGTTTTCCTCCCATGTTTGCTTAAGCTTACCTGAACATGTGACAGGTGAATCGCGCTTTTTATATTTTCCGTCATTTTGGAGGAAGTGGCCCAATATAACTTCGCTATCACTCATAGGTTTCAAAATACATGACAGAGACGCCTACCGTCTTATTATGGTATGGCACTTTTGGTTTTCTAGTATCTCTTCTATCTTCATTTGTGGCCAACTATGTCTTACAAAAATATCGGGATGCCTTCTTTTTTGAAGGGTCTTCATAAACTTAAGTACATGGATGTATCTAGAACATATGAAATCGATGGAGGCTTTTTGAGGTTCATGTCGTCTTGAGAAAACATTAATGATATGATATTTTCCCTAAATTTAAAATTATCTTATGCTTAGAGATTTTTTCTTCTTCTAATGGTAGGGATGTGGGATATGACTGCAAAGACACTCTGCTCGAGACTCTGATATTGCGGGATTGCTCATCGCTAGAAAAGGTAAGCGGAATTTAACGTAATAATTTTTTTGCTTTCTTGTTGTTTTTGCATCTCATACTTAATGTCACAAACACAATACTGACCCTTTGACTCCATGGATATCCAGAGACACGTTTCCCATTTTTTGGACTCGTTACTCAAAGGACATTTAAGATTCATTCGACACTTTGTAAGTTCTTAATCTTAAGAGAGGAAATTCATCTTTGCGGAACGGAGGAAGTACTTTTTTTTTGTTTTTGGGGTAAAATTCTGATTTTTGTTTACTCATGACCTTCTTCTTCTTTAATAGGACGTTTCAAGTACCCATGGATTGAATAATTACGGCATCAGATGTTACAAACCTAAGTAACTGCTTTTTTAGATTTTGTTTTATAATTTGTCAAATGGTAAATCATAACTAGGTTAATGACGTTAACCGGTTTATATTGTTAATTATATTGTGTGTTGTAGGTTTCCTTTAAAAGAGCTGAAAGAAAAAAGACCAGGTCTCACATTTGTGGCAGTTTTTAGATCACCGTCTTCGTCTTCG